CGTTAGACGTGGAGACGCGAGGGTTGCCCCCCCTTGCCCCACCACCTCGTGTGTGTGGAGAAGTTCACCTTACCTTACCGCTTACCCGAGAACGGACATCGGAAACTCGGACCGATGAGCCGGATGTCGCTTGTGCCTTGTCGGCCGTTCTCTTCTCGCTTTCGGGTGTGGCTGCCGTGTGCTGCCGAGTCGGCACTGCGATACCCGACTGTGTGATCTCGAACAAATGTTGGTTGGGCGGAAGGCATGTGCGACATAGGACATACCGTTTTCTACAGTACCGTACCGGGGTTGTCTCATGTCTGTTACTTCTCTGACAGACACGCCTCACGCGACAGACCGAGAACCCTATCTCTCTTCTACGTGTAACGAGGAGACAGGCAGCGACGATGCGGTCTTTAAAGCATGGACGCTGACCTCCCCTCTCCTGGTAGCCAGCCTCGCCCCTCCCCCTCCTCAACAACAACAGCGAACGCCAAACCAGCGCGCCACGGCGCCAGGTGGGCTGCACATGCACGAGGCCGCAGGCAGGTCGCTTACTTCTTCTTGGCCGCGGGCTTCTTGGCCGCGGCCTTCTTCGGGGCGGCCTTCTTGGCCGCCGGCTTCTTCGGGGCGGCCTTCTTGGCCGCGGGCTTCTTGGCGATCTGCGAGCGAGACAGCGGCCGCTTGTGAGAAGCGTGAGAAACGTGTGGGCGCGCTTGGAGGAAGAGGGGGCAGGCGCGGAGAGAGGCGCCGTGCCCACCCGGGGCGCTGGCGGCGCCGGCGCGCCACTGTGTGGGTGTGGCTTTGGGCCGCGGGCGTGCGTGAACCTTCTTGACGGCGGCGGGCTTCTTGGCAGCGGGCTTGGCCATGATTGTCTGTGCGGCGGCGGGGCGGCGCGGACGGTGAGGAGGAGCAAAGCGAAAATTTGCGCGGGCATCGGCCGCGACCGGGAGAGGAGCGCATGGCGAAGGGAAAGGGCGCAGCAAGCGCACCGTTAACTGCTGACTTTGAGTCCTCCCGCCCAGAAGTGGCGAAAAGCGAAAAACGGTTTATCTGTCCGCCTCGCCGCCCCCCTCCCCACCACCTCCGCCTCCGCCTCCTCCCTTGCCGCTCCCTACCCCGCCACCTCCTCCCGGACGCGAGACGGCGGCGGGGCAGCGGCCGAAGAAGCGAAGGAGGGGGAGGCGGGGGCCCCACAGCCGTTGCCCAACCAGGTAGGTGGTGAGCGAGCGAACGGGTGGGAGGACCGGGAGGAGATGGGAGCCCCTCCCTCCGGATCGAGGGTGGGTGGGTGGGGAGGCCGGCTTGCAGCGGCCGCCCCCTCCTGCTAGGCAGAGTCAGTCGGGCCTCTTTGTTGCATCCCGGCGGTGTGGTTCGAACGAATGAATCCACGCGAGCCGAAACAAGGTGAAGGGGTGAGAAGCCCGAGTCTGAAGTTCACCCAGTGAGGAAGTGAGGAACTGCTCGACCCTCCCGGATCGTGCTGAACAAGCTCCTGCTGTAGCTCGATCGGTCACACACCGCCATCTCGATCGACTCCGTCCGCCGACCGACGAGCGACCGTCTTGAATGAAAGGGAGATGATGGAGCGGGGACGACACACTGCATCATCAGCGTGCACCTCGATCCCCTTATACATGTATACCTACCTACCTTAAGGTACCGTGTTCGTTTGATGACCTTATGACCCCCCCCCCCCCCAAATGTGCAATGAATGAACACACACACCAGTCAGTGAGTGAGGGAGGGCGAGACGATCGAGGGGTCCCGTTCTCCCGTACCATGCGGAATCGACCCTATCCCAGTGCTCAGTGCTCAGTGTGCGTCTTCCTCAACCCGAGCTCCCTCGAGCCCTCGTCCGCTCTCGAGGTTCCTCTTCCGTCCTCTTCCGTCGGTTCGTTTTGGGCTCAGATTTGGGGGACGGGCGAGTGTCGAGGGATGGCGACGCCACCGCTCCAAGCGCGCAGCTGAATGCAGCGCAACGGCCTTGTCTGGGCGTGCGCTGTGGCCGCCTTGTGCTTCGGGGGAGCACGAGCGCGGCGCTCATTGACCGCCGATGAGGCTGGCACTGACACCGCTGTCGAGAACGAGAACAGCAGCCGCATGCCAGTGAGATCACTCCGGCAGCTCTTCCGAGCTCGCCGACTGGCCGGCAGTGCCGAGCGCACTGGAACCAATCCTAGCCCTCCTCCGCCACAGCCGCCTCTGACGCCCGGAACGCAGGTATACGATGGGTCTGTGTTTGCACTCCGCGTTCCGCAAAACAAGATGTCTAGCTGCTACTCCATGGCCGTCGTCAAGGCGATCCGCGATCCGCGGTTCGTTCAGATCATGAGCGGGGCCCTGTCACCATCAGAGGTGTCCCTGATCGACCCTTCGAGCTGTCAGATTGAAGAGCTGCCTGCGCCATCCCCGCCGCCACCCTCGCTATTCCCACCATCACCGCCG